TCGCTTGAGCCCAGGAGTTGGAGGTTGCTGTGAGCTGTGATGCCATGGCACTCTACCCAGGGGGATAGCTTGAGGCTCCGTCTCAAAAAATAAAAGAAATGCAGTTTTGCTCTGTTACCCAAACTGGAGTGCAGCAGTGTGGTCATAGTTCATTGCAGCCTCCAACTCCTGGGCTCAAAGTATCCTCTTATGTCAGCCTCTTGAGTAGAGTAGCTAGGGCTATAGACAAGGGCCAGCACACCTAGCAGTTATCTTATAATATTTTTTGGTTTGTTTGTTTTTTGAGACGGTCTTACTCTGTCACCCTGGGTAGAGTATTGTGGTATCATAGTTTATAGCAACCTCAAACTCTTGGGCTCAGGTGATCCTCTTGCCTCAGCCTCCCAAGTAGCTGGGACTATAGGCATCTGCTATAACACCCAGCTATTGTTAGAGACAGGATCTCGCTTTTGCTCAGGCTGGTCTTAAACTCCTCAGCTCAAGCAATCCATCCACCTCTGCCTCCCAGAGTGCTAGGATCACAGGTATGAGCCACCACCTCTGGCCTTTTACAGTATTTTAAAATCCCTTTTTACCATTTGGTAGTCAGATACATAGATATAATAATATCATAACTATAATAAAGGATAAATATAATAATTTATAATAAAGTCATACAATTCAAAAATAACAAAACAAAATTTGTATCAATATATTTAGAGATGATTATGATAGATGTAAGTAGCCAAATGCTTCAGTCCATATGTTGAATCATACTTAAGTAGCCAAATGCTTGAGTCCATATGTTGAATCACCGTATATCTTACAACTATAGATGCAGAATGATTCGGGTATGTTGTGTTGGTGACTAAGAAATAACACAAGCTTAAATAATTTCTGGTAAAGTTCTGAACAAAACAAAATACAATCTTTCCTTTAGAGTTGCATACAATTGCCTTACTGGAAATTTCAGTGTATTATAAAACTTAGAAAAATATTTTCTCTATATATAATATGAAATTAGGTTCTAGGTCATGTAATTATAAGATTTTTCTTTTTATTTATTTTTTCTTTTTTTTTGAGACAGAGTCTCTTTGCCCTAGGTAGATTGCCGTGGCATCATAACTCACAGCAACCTCAAACTCTTGGGCTCTAGTAATCCTCTTGCCCAGCCTCCTAAGTAGCTGGGACTACAGGCACCAGCCACAACACCCTGTTCATTTTTCTACTTTAGTAAAGATGAGTTCTCATTCTTCCTCAGACTGGTCTCAAACTCCTGAGCTCAGGCAATCCACAAACCTTGGCCTTCCAGAGTGTTGGGATTACAGGCATGAGCTATAGTGGCTAGCTGAATTATAAGGTTTTCATCTACTTGAACGTCTCATGGGACGTTTAAAAGTTGCAGGGGACACAGGTTAATTTTTTGTTGTTTAGGGATATCTTGGCATTGCAGGATATCTAAAATTCCTGTAGTGTTCCTTACTCACATGGCAACAAAACACCTCCTAGATTTGTAACATGTCTCCCTAAGAGGGCAGTTGAGAACCATTAGGTTAGATAAATGATTCAATGGAGTATTATTCATCCATTAAAAAGAACAAGGAAGGGCGGTACCTGTGGCTTAGTGGGTAGGGCGCTGGGTCCCATATACCAAGGCTGGCAGGTTCAAACCCGTTCCCAGCCAAACTGCAACAAGAACAAAAAAAATAGTTGGGCATTGTGGCAGGTGCCTATAATCCCAGCAATTGGGAGACTGAGGCAAGAGAATCACCTAAGCCCAGGAGTTGGAGGTTGCTGTGAGCTTTGATGCTACAGTACTCTACCAATGGTCATAAAGTGAGACTCTATCTCTTAAAAAAAAAGAACAAGGAAGATGCACATGTACTATCATGAATAGATGTCCATAATATATTGTCAGCTAAAAAAACAGGTTACAGAAAACATCATGTATGGTATCCTACTTTTGCTAATTATTTACACATAAATGTACAAGACTGGAAAAAACATTTTTCTAAATGTTAATAGTAGATGACATTTTTTATGCTTCTGTTGTCTGAAAAAAAATTTTTTTTTTGAGACAGAGTCTCAATATGTCACCTCAGTAGAGTGCGTGGCATCATAGCTCACAGCAACCTGAAACTTCTGGGCTTAAGTGATTCTTTTGCCTCAGCCTCCCAACTAGCTGGGACTACAGGTACCTGGCACAGTGCCCAGCTATTTTTATGTTTTAGTTGTCATTGTTGTTTAGCTGGCCTGGTCCGGGTTCAAACCTGCCTCGGTGCATGTGGCCCGCGCCGTAGCCACTGTGCTACGGGCACCGAGTCTATTGTCTAAAATTTTAAGAACTAAAAGTTGGATTACTTTTGTAAAATAATTGCTTCTAGACATAAGGGTTTAAAAAACTGTACTTTGAGCTCAGTTCCTGTAGTTCAGCAGCTAGGGCGCCCGCCATATACACAGGAGCTGACAGGTTCGAACCTAGCTTGGGCCTGCCAAACACCGACAATTACATCAAAAAAATAGCCAGATGTCGTGGCAGGCACCTGTAGTCCCAGCTATTTGGGAGACTGAAGCAAGAGAATCGCTTAAGCCCAAGAGTTTGAGGTTGTGGCTTGGCGCCTATAGCTCAAACGGCTAGGGCACCAGCCACATGCACCAGAGCTGGTAGGTTTGAATCCAGCCTGGGCCTGCCAAACAACAATGACAACTGCAACGAAAAAATAGCTGGGCATTGTGGTGGGCACCTGTGGTCCCAGCTATTTGAGAGGCTGAGGCAGTAGAATCGCTTAATCCCAGGAATTGGAGGTTGCTATGAGCTGTGATACCATGGCACTCTACCCAGGGCGACAGCTTGAGGCTCTGTCTCAAAAAAAAAAAAAGAGTTGGAGGTTGCTGTGAGCTGTGATGTCACAGCTCTCTACCGAAAGTGATATTCTAATACTCTTGTCTCAAAAAACAAAACAAAACTGTACTTTGGTCAGTAGCTGATGCTTTTTTTGAGGAAAATGTAAAGAAGCAGCAGCAAGCTTATAACAGTAACAGAAGGTGAGAAAGGGTAATATGGTAAAAATTAGCATCTAGCACTTACTATAAAACAATTTTTGTTCTTCCATGTTAAAAATGTATAATGGGAGAAGTGAAATAGCTGCTGTTTACTAAATTTGGACCTACTGCCAGAAGGGTACATTCTTTCTTCTGTCATTTTCCTCCTATCTTTATTTAAAAACAAATGAAAAGGATAATTATCACCACTTTGAAGAGAGGAAAGTGCCTTGAGGAGTGTTTGTTGGACTTAAGGGAGAAAAATACTATTATAGAATGTTAGAAATCTTGCCCCAGGCTAAACAGATTCCTTCATCTACCTTCAAAGATTTCATTCACTTTCTTGTGGTTGATTACAGGGCACAGTTTTTCTAGGTTGCCCTGACTGTATAGAGAGGCAGAGTTTGAGGCATCTAGGCACATATATATCTGCATTTTTATGACTTTAGGGAGTTTGGGTAGTTCCTGCCTGAATATTTTGGAAGCCTGCTCTTGTCTTTGAAACTGAAAAAGGTCTGCTATGTTCTGTGCTTATTTTGGGTGAAAGGGAGGAAGCTTTCCTGGGTTTAAATCCCAACTCAGATATCAAGTATATCCCAAGACACATATTCGAAGTTTTCTTTTTTTCTCCAACATACTATGAAAATTTTCAAACTTACAGAAAAGTTGAAAGAACAGGGCGATTATCTATATGCCTATGCCTACTTCCTAGATTCAGCAATTATTAACATTTCATCAGATTTGCTTTATATGTGTGTTTTGTTATAGGTATGTATCCATTTTGTCCTCCTGGAAAAATAAGTTTCCAGGGTTATGAAACTTCCAGTTTAAAACATGTATTTGAGGCTTGGCTCCTGCAGCTCAGCGGCTAGGACGCTGGCCACATACACAGGGACTAGCAGGTCCAAACCCAGCCTGGGCCTGTCAAGCAACAAGTTGCCTGACAACTACAACAAGAAAATAGCTGGGTGTTGTGGTGGGTGCCTGTAGTCCCAGCTACTTGGGAGGCTGAGGCAAGAGAATCACTTAAGCACAAGAGTTTGAGGTTGCTGTGAGCTGTAATGCCACAGCACCTTACAGAGGACGACATAATAAGACTCTGTCTCCAAAATAAATAATAAAAATAAAAAATAAAATGTGTTTGAGGCTGGACGTGATGCCTTACACCTATGATCTCAGCCTTCTGGGAGGCTGACAGGCAGATTGCTTGAGCTCATGAGTTCGAGACCAGCCTGAGCTAAAGCATGGCCCTGCCTTTAAAAATAGCCAGGCATTGTGGCAGGCGCCTGTAGTCCTAGCAACTCAGGAGGCTGAGGCGAGAATGGCTTGAACCCAGGAGTCTGAGGTTGCTATGAGCTATGATGCTACGGCACTCTACCAGGGGTGACAAAGTGAGACTCTGTCTCAAAAAAAAAAACAAAACATGTTTGTAAATTTCTCTGTGAGGGCCAAGTCCACTTAAATGCTATTTGAAGTAGTAAGTATATTGTAGAAAGAAACAATGGTGCCCTGAAGTAAAAAGGAGTATTATTTTAATTTTTCTTTATTTGGGATGAGTTCATCTTATTTCTATGAACTTCTCAACACAGCTCACTACTTGTGTAATCATTTGCACATTTTCACCTTTCTGCACTAAGATAATCATAAAGCATTTTGAAGTTGGTGTATATGTTTTCTCATTGTTCTAGGTGATCCCTCTGATAAGCCACCTTGCCGGGGCTGCTCCTCTTACCTCATGGAGCCTTATATCAAGTGTGCTGAATGTGGGCCACCTCCTTTTTTCCTCTGCTTGCAGGTAATTCACTAATGCTTGCCTCTCCTAGTCTAGTTTTGTAATGTAGTAATTCAGAGGCTATTACAGATTGCTCAGGAGAACTAGAGCTTATTAAATCTATTCCTTCCAGTCAGTTTTCCCTTACACATTTTACCACTGAGAAGTTGGGGAACAGAGCAGATGGGTGACAGAGACTGTGGATTAATCCACAAGTGTGTGTCCGCCTAATACTTAACACTGTTTTTGTAAGCAAATTTAAAGTTTTAGGATTATAGAAAATACCTGGAAGATTATTCCTTTTGATGTCACTGTTGTCTTATTGAAGAGTGAGCTCTGTACATATGACAAGGGAACAAACAATGTTGTGGGTAATAATAGTAGTAATAACACTAATTATAAGTGCTTCGTGCTGTGCACTTCTTTTTTTCCTTGAGGTCTCACTTTGTCACCCTTAGAGTGCGGTGGCGTCATAGATCCCTGCAACCTCAAACTCTTGAGCTCAAGCTATTCTCTTGCCTTTGCCTCCCAAGTAGCCGAGACTACAGGTATCCACCACAACGTCCAGGTAGTTTTTCTGTTTTTAGTAGAGGCGGGGGTCTTCCTTTGCTCAGGCTGGTCCCAAACTCCTGAGCTTAGGAGATCCACCCTCTCAGCGTCCCATAGTCCTAGGATTATGAATGTAAACTCCCTTGCCAGCTGAGCACTGTTTTTAGTACTTTACATCAAATTAACCCTTAAATCACACTACAGTCCTGTGAAGTTAGTATGACTTATATCTCCATTTTATAGATGAAGAAACTCAGGCCAACAGAGGTAAAGTAAGTTGTTCGAGGTCACTCAGTAAGTATCTTATTTTATCAGATCCAAGACAATATTGATTATAAGAAGCACCCCAATTTTGGAAGTGTTAAAATGTAAAAATGGCTAATGAAGGTTGTGATACACTTTCAATTACAAGATATAAGATGAATCCAGATTTCAGAGTTTTAAAATATGAAAAAATATGTCTTAGAATTGCTGAAATATGGTTAAGTACAGAGCTGGGATTCAGATTTAGACAGCATGATTCCAGGGCTTATGCTTATATTAAAGGAGTTGTGCTAGAAAAGTTCTTTTTTCTCAGATCTGTTTTTTTCTGAGAGGACCATTGAAAAACTCTGATCAGGAATATACCATCTTGGCTCGGTGCCCATAGTTCAGTGGTTAAGGTACCGGCCACATACACCAGGGCTGGCAGATTCAAATCTGGCCCAAGCCTGCTTAAAAAAAAAAAAACAACAAAACAACAATTACAACTACAACAAAAAAATAGCTGGGCGTTGTGACAGGCGCCTGTGGTCCCAGCTACTTGTGAGGCTGAAGCAAAAGAATCACTTAAGCCCAAGAGTTTGAGGTTGCTGTGAACTGTGACGTCACAGCACTCTACTAACGGTAACATAGTTAGGCTTAAAAAAAAAAAAAAAAAAGAATATACCATCCTATTGCAGCTGTAGACAAGATTTAAATGAATTCTTCTTGAAAATTTTTGAACCTGGTGGCTCACACCTGTAATCCTACCATTTTGGGAGGCTGAGGCAGGAGGACTGCTTGAGCTCAAGAGTTTGAGAACAGCTCAAACTGCTAATAGGAAATTTAGCTAGGTGTGAGTACCTGTAGTTTCAGCTGCAGGGGAGGCTGCAACAGAAGGATCACTTGAGCCCAGGAGTTAGCGGTTGCAGCCAACTCTGATGACACCACTAGCACTCTAGCCTGGGTGATAGAGCGAGACTATCTCAAAAAAAATAAAAAAAAGAGTACCCATAAATTATCTTGATAGATAATAAATCATTTTAAAAAGTACCTTTTGGTAACTTAGTTTTTCTTTCTTTGCAGTGTTTCACTCGAGGGTTTGAGTACAAGAAACATCAAAGTGATCACACTTATGAAATAATGGTAATGATGAAGTTGCTGAGAATTTCTGTTCATGTTTCTTTTATTAAGTACCTTTACTTTTCTCTTCTGAATGTAGTAGTAATTATCTGCTAAGTTTTTTAGGGTTTTTGTGGATCTACTAAGTTATTTAAATGCAAAAACAGTTTTATGTACTTGGATTTTTGTTTCAGATTTAGAAGATATTTAAAGGAAGTAACTATTTGAGCTATCTTGATGTATGGATAAGTGACATGCTGCTCTTCAGGCTTGTTGGTAAACTTGTAGCCAGTGTGTTGTCACTGTGAGCTAATGGTATTTTTTAATGTGGTTTCGGTGGGCAGCAGAGAAGTTTATGTCTGGCACTCCATTCCCCTGCCTTAGGAAAATTAGTTACCCTCTGAGAATTAAGTTATGAAATGAACACAGTGAATGAGTTAATACATAAAATTACTGAAAGGGCAAACTGCTTTATACACCAGAATAAAACTTGCCTATAATTTGATAGGTTATGTTGCCACCTCTAAAGAAGTAATGAGAGTGTTGGTAGTGTCCTTCCAAACCCTGGCCAGAAGAGTAGGTGGTTTAATGACCCACAGCAAACATGTAGTCTACTTGATAGGTATGTATACTTTAAGATAGTTTTGTCACTTCTGAAAGCATATTAAACACATAATTACATCTCTTAGTTTACCATTTTCCTGACAGTTGTCCTCCTAAGTTTCTTACAGGAAAGAATGCTGGCTGACTTGATGGTAATAATTTCACATTATGAATAAATCTGTATTAGTTTTCTATTGCAGATATAACAAATTACCAAAAATTAAGTGGCTTAAAATAACACATGTATCTTACAGTTCTGTAGGTCAGAAGACCATTAAGTTCAGCTGTTTGTTCCAGGTCCCATAGGCTGAAATCAAAGTATTGACCAGCTTTGGCTCCTATCTGGAGACCCTAGGGGAAAGTCCCCTTGGCTTGTCCAGGTTGTTGGCTCACTGCCTTGAGGTTATAGGAACGATGCTACTGTTTTCCTTACTGGCTATTGGCCAGGACACGTTTTTAGCTTCTAGAGGTAGCCTACATTCCCTCGCTTTTGTCCCCCTTCTTCCGGTCTCAAAGGCAACAGCATACGGAGTTCTAGAGTGGTTGATGAAATACTGGGACTCTTTCTAACCTCTCCTGTGCTGAATCTCTGGGTGACTTTTCTGTCTGCCTTTTCTACTTTTAAGGGTTCTCAAGTGATTACATTGGACCTATCTCATAATCCAAGGTCATCAGCTGATTAGTAATCATAATTTCATCTGCAAAGTCCCTTCACCCTTCACAGTAAAACCTAGTTAGTGTTTGAATAATCAGGGGATAGGAATCTTTTTTTTTTTTTTTT